CTGAAAGCAAAGATCAATGATGAGAAATAGAAATTTCTTCTGACCACACAAAACAAATATAAACAGAAACAAATATACACGAGAGATTATGGGAAAAAATGTAGATACTTTCTTTTATTTGATCCTCTCGCATTCTCATTGCTAAAGGATCACGTCGAATACGAACATCAGTACCCATCATGATGCGGTACTCTTGATCAGTTTGATGCGTAAACATTTCAATGAGTTGTGTGTTTTCATCTTCACCAGTCTCTTCAAAATGCTTTTGAACAGCTTCCCTCGAAGTGTCTCTCTTCCAAGCTTTCACCCATTCTGAGTAGTAAGCTAATGGACCAATCTTTTCCAATCTTTCTTGTTCAGCCTTCAGCCTAATGATTCAACACATCAAATCCCACATCAAAAATGAAAACTAATTAACTGCTTCCCTGAATTAGATCACCATAACATAAAATTACCTGAATCAGATCACCATAATATAAACAAGAAACTCCCACCACTAGCATTAATCTGCCACTATTCTTTATAATTTTCTTTTTTGTATGCGAATACGGTGATATGATAGGCTTAAATGCCAGAGCCATGATCAGGCTAGGGGTACAACTACTCCGCGCTAAGGGAATTCAAACAAAAAAGGGGCTAAAACCCATGCTTTTAATCGAATTGTTCCCACATGGCACCACTAAAGTTTGAGTAATTCCTCTTCCCCTAATAGTGCCCCAAAAGTTTTCACTTGTAGACTTCAAAACAAACAAAAAGAGTATTTGCAACATTTTCAATCTCTTAATCACCTCTATATTAACCTGATGGAAAAATTTTACATTTTAAGGGTTAATGGAATTAATTTAAAATCATACTCAAAATTATATTAAACATCAAACTGCAAGACCATAAACCAGTAAGAACCATTTTGACATTCCTCCCCAGTCAAAGGTATTGGCCCTGCCATTGCACGGACTATCATGTCTGTCACACTAGTGTTGCAGTATATGTTGCAAATGCTTGAGCAGGAACTTTAAAACTCAACATTGGAACTTAAATTCTAGAAAGAGAAAATTCATTTGATATCCAACAACAATATTTAACATTTGCAACCAAAAAGCGCTAAACGAGTATATCCAAATTATACTTCAAGCACATTCCTCAACTGCAAAAGAAGCTTGAAAAACAAGAATTCTGAAAAAGAAGCTTGAAAAAGAAGAATTCAAGCAATACAACTGGATGGTGCGAAGCTCCCCAAAGACCACTGATCATACAAAATTACAGAAATTCTTAAACGATCAAACAAAGTACGAAACAGGAAGAAAATACCAAGGAATACACCATTTACTCCAATTAATTGCTAGCCCACTAAGCTGGCTCAATTCAGGAATTTGCCTGTAAAAAGATGACCAAAGCCTTTACCATCATAGCGGAATGTCGATATTCAACAATTTATATAATTGTACAAAATACTACAGCAGATGCTAGTCTCTATTTTTTGGACCATATCCTGAATATTATGCTAAGCAGCCTCAATTATGCCTGCAAGATGGTCAAGAATCTTAGTTTGTGGTCATCATTAATGAACTCATCAGAAACTTTAAGTCCTACTTGTGCTTGATTTAAATTTGAAATGATGAACACATTCACCTTGAAATCCGTTGTAGCCAGTGGACACAGTTCTGAGCTAATTACAAGATGCTATAATTTTCCACCCTTGGGTCAGACACCCTTGGGCGGTCTGACCAGATTTTACATATTGCTATAACTGAGAAATTATATTTTGACAAAAGATTATAATTGCTTGTCCATGTGTCAGCTTTGTAGCGATTTTAGTTGAATAGTGACAATGCTAAAACTATACTTTCAGACTGATGCATCAAGTGATACACCAGATGAACCAGCCAACAATTCTGCACATTGTTGACAACAACAAATCATTGAAGATCATGGGAAGGATAAGAACTTTAGTTTACAGAAGGCAATGTTGCAAATTCCAGAAGATCAATCCATGTGTGTAAGAATTCCTTATTACCTTTCCTCTTTGTATATATGTCGCCTTGCTCTGTAAAGTGAAGTCTCAGTCAATGTTGGATGGTCACCATAGAGCTTTATTTGCCCAGTCTCTGCCATTGCTTTAAGAAACACCTGCTCCCAAAAGCAAATATCAATCCACAAAGACAATGACAACACTATTGAGATGAAACCGAAGATCCCAGTGATGCAAAACTTCAAACTTTGAGAAGAATATTTTACAGTCATTTTAAATTCTATATCATCTATAGGGGAAAAGAAACATAGAATCTCCAGATTTACTCAGCAATGGTCAAAGAAGCCAATTGTGAATGTCAAGTCAGTCTATCAAAAGTAAGTGTTGATATTCCAATTAAATTAACATTTTTTTGCAATAACAATCAATTGTCAATTTGAGTGACAAACCGTTTCAACATCAGGCCTCCTCCTTTGCCACCTTGACCATTGTTCTTTTTCTGGCTTTCTCCAGTTCCACCATAGTTCTTCACTTGTAAGTGGCTCTTCTACTGGCTTCTTTGCTTTTGGATCAATGAAAGGGTGAGGACGTCCAATTTTCTTATCCATCTCGTAGTCACTTAAGTTCTCTTCCTCTGGTTCTGACTGATAAACAACATACTCAGATAACAATTCTTTGGGCTCTTCTAGTACATCATCAGGAATGTCAGGAACTCCACTTGTTTCCGAAGTCTCAGAGGAAGCAACTGATGCTTTATACTTTTTCCTTCTGCTTCCAGGATTTTGTCCATAAGAAGGACTTGTAGTTGAGGCACCCATTGGCTCAGGAGCCCTGGCAGCTCTTACTCGACTTGCAGTCCCTTCTGGCCAGAACTCTTGCCCTGGAATACTTGCACGAGCTCCAGAAGCTGGTTCAAGCTGCCCAGACGTAGAGTCCAAGTAACTATGATATGGAGGAGGTTCAACAGATACTTGCTCGAATGAACTCCCTTCTTTGTTAGAATTCTCACATTTTATACAGGGAAGAAGACGCACATTCCCAGATGAATGGTGCAATCCAACCTTTAACTGCCAAATTGAAGTAACAAATGCCCTTGCAAATGAAGTCTGATGCCAAATAGATGATTAATTGTTAGCATTCTGAAGCAGATTACTAGGCTATCACTTCCAAGAAAAACTGAACTCAACATTCTTGTGACATGAGCATTAAAAGGCTAGCACAAGATATGTCTTATAACATGAAATTTAGACATTGAAAAAAAAAAAAAGAAATCACGTGATTTCACATTTTCATACATTCAAAGAAGCCTACGTCCAATCCAAGCCTGCATTCTTTTCCCCCCCTACTTGCAGGCAATGGATGTACCCATATGCCCACAGCCATATGACTAAGGATGAAGACTTGTATACCCGTCAGAACAAGGGCTATAGCTGGAGAGGTTGGGAGCTCTGAGACAAACCATTTCCAGTGTTCCCAAGTTAACATCACTACTGAAATAAACAACTTTTGAAAAATTCAGCGAAATAATCAGAGCTTTTGAGATTGATGATTTTATAAAAAGTATCAGGATAAGAAAGAAGGTTTATCTGTAAAGAGGAAAAGTGCTTCCTTTTTAACCAAGTTTAAAGTGTTCTTACTAAACTAAGCCTTGATAGTCAAACTACCCACATAAAATATAATTTCCTCATTACTACATCAATAGTCTGGGTGATACAACAGTTGATGATAAAATTATGCCTGCACAACAATATAATATATGGATGAAAACTTGTACACCCGTCAGAAAGAGGGCTATAGCTGAAGAAGTTGCAACGTCCAACTGTCACTGAGACAAAAAGTTTCCAGTATGCCCAAAGTCTGCATCACTACTGATTACTGAAAATAATCAAGTTCCGAAAAATTTCGCATAACAATTGCAGTTTGTTTGAAATTGACCATTTCCTTACAATATCGTTATAAAAAAAGGAAGTTTATCCTAAAAAGGAAAGATAAATTATTAACCAAGATTTAAAGTCTCTTATCAAAACTAAAACTTGATAGTCAAACTACCCATACAGAATTATACAGAATTTCCAGATTAGTACATCAATAATCAGGGTAAGACAATAATTACAGGTGAATGAATTAATTAAAACTCCATTTTACGTAAAATTAAAAGGGAATTATTATAACAAATAAAGGTGTAGTAAGAAAACCTTAGAACCCTGCAAATGCCGCCTCTTAGCAACTGACCCGTCAACAGAAACAATCCTTCTTGATATTCCATTATCTGCAAAACCCACAAACTTTTTAGAACAGAATATTAATAATAAATAAAAAACTGCAGCATCCCATCTATATTGGAAGTATTTCAAAACTGAATTTGAAAAAGAATGCATCAAGTGACTGCAGAGAAGTGCAAAGAAAGAGTGACCTTGACACAACACCCAAGAAGGTGATATTGAAGATACCATTTCTGCTATTGGAGATGACAAACCCACTAAAATTTTTGGATTAAATATTTCATTGGCCTGAATAATTACATCCAATGTGACGTAAACTTGTTTTGTTTTAAAAACCTTGTTGTGGGTTTCTTGGCTGGGTTTTAGGCATGGGTTTTAATTTGAAGAAGATAAAGTGTATGGGGGTCGGGTGTATCTTGCTGAACGACGTCGTTCATTTACCTAGAGATTGGAGAAGCCACAGTTCAGCTTTGAACCCGGACCAACAATTTGTTGAATCTGAGCTGGAACGGGTCGGATGTATCTCGCTGAACCACATTGTTCATTGACTCGGAGAGATCGGTGTTGCCAAAAAGTTAATGTTTAAACCAAGATTAGAGGTGTCAAATAAAACCATTTAATTAATTTTATCCATACCCGCCCATTAATAACTGAATATGGGTATATTAAATTTTTATATATGGGTATAAATAGGTTACCCAATTATACCCAATTATTAAATGGGTATAATTGGGTAACCCATTAAACCCAATTAACCTATTTAACTTGCATTCCCAAACTTCTTTCTATTTTCAGTTTTCACCGTCAATCTTCTTCTCCTCCCCACCAGCAAGCCCACTGCTTCCCCCCCCTCTTCCTCCAGTGTTTGATTCCCCTCTCCCTTCTCCCCGTCTCTGCTTAATAGAAGGTTTTTGCCCCTTCCATGTCCGATTCCTGAGCTGATTGATGGATAACTTTTCTAATGCCATTAGATCCTGGAAACGCCACTTATATTTTTTAGCTCTAGTTTTTTTCCCTTCATTTGATACCATTGCATTTCTTTGCTTAATGTTCACAGGAATCTAAATATTGTGAGAAAAGTTGAAAAGCTTTGGGAGCTTGAGGTACAAGAAAATTAGAATCAATCTTCAATTTTGTTTGGATGGAATTGTTGGCATAGTATTTGGACATGGGAGGAGAGAGACAGAGCATATGCTGCAGATCCTGCACCCCGGATGCAGTTGGTGGTATCTGTAGCATTGTAGAGTCTACAGGTAAGGCTTTCCTGCTTAAATTTGTGGTGGGATGCATACTTATTGGCTGTAGTAGTATTTGAATGGGATCTTACTTTTGCTGGTTCTATGACAACTCTACTGGGAAAGTTTTACTTGTATGCATTCGTCTCCTTGCAATCTGTGAAGCTGTTTGTTATTATTGTTCCCAGTAATTGCAAATTTGGAAAACTTCCAGTGCCTAGTAATTTCTTTTTAGTCTATTCGTAACAAATTTGTTCAGCACTACTGGTAACAATTTCTTGAAGGCTACAAAATCTGCAATGACGAGGACAAGATTGGTTGGCCATAGTTTTTCAAAATTTACACGACGCTAAACTGAGGTCTAAGGATCCAGCCATGTTCTTTTTCTATAACAGGAATCTTGTTAAGTAGCATATTCTTTAAATTTTTCCTATAACAGGTATCTTGTTATTGGGCATGTAATTTTATTTATTTTTTAATAAAAATGTTGTTGGAAACAGGATAGAAAAGCATAGAAAATTAACATGATAGAAAAGCATAATATCTCGTATATAATATCATTGACAGTAGCATTTTAGGTTCAATCTGATGCATTGTTTAGGGGAAAGTTTCTGGTATAAATTTGCTTCATGTCAATTAAGCCACACATAACACATAAAAAGGTGGATCATATACACATGAAATCCTCTTTTTCTATGTAATTTGGTTTATGTGAACGGTGGCATATGTCATAATCTACCCATATCCTTGTAAAGGGTATATTTGGCTAGGATATGTTTTAGGTTCTCGATATTGTTGTAGTGCTAGAGTTTGAGCTACAATGTGGAATGGAATTTTGTGGCTTGTGTCTTGTGTATTATTCAGCCTTTGTTGTTATGACATGGTTATATTTGTGCCTAGTTATTTGGAAAATGGAAAGATGCTGATTTTGTTTGCATGATCAGGCTTAAATTGGTTCTAGCAACCTTGTCAGGATGCTGATACTGATGCACTGAATGCAGCAGCATCACTGTTGTAAGGTTCTCCCATTAGAAAGAGTCAAAAAGCTAAAAAACCAAAGTGGCAAGGAACTTTTTAAAGTGCTAAAAATTGGAAGTTGTTGAAACTTGGGCTTGGCTATCAAGTCATTGAAACTGGCAAGTGCAGTCAGCACAATTAAGTCTGAGAGGGCAGGGCAGGACAAGTTATATGTAAGGCTGAGAGTCTTAGATAGGAAAACATCAGATGAGGTGTACAAAGTTGGTAGTATAGATAACAGAAATGCTATCCCTTCATGATCCAACAGATGAGTTGTCAGAGCACATTCAGGAACTATGTTCTTATACAAGCCATGAGCCTACCAATACAGATGAGTTGATCCAAGGTTCTTCAAAGCGTTCGAGACAACTCACGTCATTGATTTGGAAGGAATTTGATATATTGTATGTTGAACCAGATGGTTCACAAAGAGCACAATGTAAATGGTGCAAGCGTGATTATGCATGTGGTGGAACAACCGGAACAAGCAACTTATGGCGTCATCTTTCAAATGGAGTAACAGGTATGTTATACTTAACCTTTTGTGCACATGATCTTGTATTTTACTTTTTTAGTCACTTATTGAACTTTACTTTTGATTTCAGCTTCTGAAGATGAAGAAGATAGAGAAAGACTGAGTATTGACTTTGCACCTTTAGTTGCTAAACTTACTAACCTTCATGTTGGCGGATTCCAACAATGAGCTGGAGGAGTTTTATGTTATGCTATGCAGTTGTACGAAGCTTGTGCTTGTTAAGTATCTTGATAGAGTAGCTAGTTGTGGGAATTCAAGTAGCTATTGTTTATTCTCGTACTGAAGGTTGGCAAGAAGTTTTGGCCATGTAACCTTTCACTGTTCTATCAGTTATTTCTATTTATTGAAAATTTATCTTTGTTTGTATGCTAAATGAAGTGATTGCTAATCCTTATCAGGATTTTTAACTATTTTTTATGTTAACTAATTTTGTTTCATTTATTATATTTATTTGTTGATTTTGTCTTATCGCTTTATTTCCTCGTAATTTATTAATTTGATCATTTTTTAGCATCACTAATTTATGACAAATTTTAGTCTCCTTTCTTACCTTTTCAAAATGAAATTTTAAATTTATACACGAAAAAATACTAGGGGTTCAAAGTTTTGGATTAAATTTTTATGTTAACTTTCATATTATTTAGTCCAAAATTTTAGATTCTCATTGTTCAATTATTAAATAATATGTAATTTTGCGACATAGCACGCGGATGGAAAAAAAATTGATAATTAGACTTATTTGGCATAATAAGTAAATATTTAAAATTAATGATGGGTGTAAAATGGTATAAATTGATAATTTAGTTTGCAAAATGAATTTATATGAGTTTGTAAAAAATTAGAATAAATGGATTATAAATGGATAATTGAGTTACCCAACTCATTTTTTGACTTACCCGTTTATACCCATCTAATTAAATGGATATAAATGGGTTGACTCACTTATACCCATTACCCATTTTACCCAACCCAAACCCGCCCAAATCACCCATTTTGCCACCTCTAACCAAGATCCAATAGTTTGTTGAATCAAAACTAGATCTTGAAATCGGAATCAAAATTATAACTGTGACTAAAGGTTGAGGTTCAGGTTCACCAAAATTTTAAATCGGAATCGAAATTGACAATTTAGAACCGAATCAAATCGTTTAAAAAAATACTTGCTATCTAAATTTATTTAGCCAATTTAGAATTCAATATCAATAGTTAGGATCCAACACCCATAGTCCCAATCGTAACATAACAACCCATTATCCCATGTCATTAGTAAGTCTGGACCCCATAACTAATTTAAATTTAAGACCAATCTATTCTAATCAACAACGAGGCATTTTTTTCGTAAAATGTACATAATATTTTCTTTTGTCTTGCATATGATAATACAATAAAGTTCTTTTTTCTGCATTCATTGTCATATCTTTTATAATCAATTTTATAATAATAAATGTTTAAACATAACTAAAAGAAACGAAATCATAACTAGAAGTAGTCAAAACATTAATTGGAATAAAATCGAAATTGAAACCAGAACTGGAGGTTCAAGAATCATAATCATAACCATCCCTATAAAGGTCAGTTCAAGCTCTGTCTTTCAAAAGAATCGAAACTACGGTCCTGAAATCGTGGTCATGTCTACCCAAAAGAGATGACAGGTCACAAGCAATAATTGAGGGGAAATATTTGGGTAAATTTGAGAGGTCTTTGGTTTAAGAGATTCAAGGAATGGAAATGGTGCCACCAATAATGACACTCATTGGAGTTTGGAAAACAAGTCAGGAATTTTGCTAATTTGATCCCTAAACTTTTTCATTAAAATCAATTTCATCCTTAATAGGTTTTTTTTCTTTGACCAATATAGTCCTTAAATTATAGTTTCCGTTCTAATTTAGGCCTTCTACAATAGTGCCACCACATCTTACCTCTTTCCCACCACTAGTCAAGGTATTTGGCCAATAAAGGTTAAAACTGCAATATAAGAAGGCAAAAAACTTGTATAGCCTGGGTCTATAATTGGGCCTGTAGACCGAGTAGTGCAAAATATGCCATACCATTATAGTATTTTTTTTAACCAAAACGCTTTCTCACTCAAAAGTCCAAACAACTTTTGACTTTTCTAGATCATTTTCCATTCGGGTTATCAAGTAGCGACTCACCCCTTCGCTACCACTATCGACACCACTTGCTCAGTTCCTTGCCAGAAATTATCTCCGCTCCCCTTTGCCTCCCTTGCCCATTCCGCCCTTCCCCAAAATTAATAGCCTAATCATCGAGTACATAACCCAAGTCTGGATTTCCGTCACTTTTGATGGTGCTACAGTCAAAGCGAGCAGCAAAAAGAAGAATTGTGTGAAAAGAAAGATATGGGGAAAAAAACAAAAGGGAAAGCTTGCCTTATGATCTAAAGAAGAAAGCCACAGACTAGGGGTTCTTAGTTTCAACTTTTTATTATTAGGAAATGGAGACGATTTTCCTCAATTTAGAGATAACCCAGATATCTCTCCCTCTCACTTTCTCTCTTTTCAGAGTCTTGGGAGATTGTTTAAATACTTGGAAGTAGTGTTATTAAACCCAACCTGGCCTGGTGGTTCAACCGATCAACCTGATAAACCAGCAACTGAGCCGAGCTAGGTCTTTAATTGGATTGTTTAAGCAATAAATTCATTGGATTGACAGTCAACCTGGTGAACCAGCCAATTTTGTAAGGAACCTTGGTCTAGCATGCTATTGTGAGAAATATTTTAAGAAGATGCTAAAGTGATGGTTCAAACATGGGATCTCATGCGTACAAGTGCAATCACTATTGGACCAATAGCCCATTTGTTGGCTATTTAATCCTTCTTATATTTTATATTAGATTTTTATTCTTATTTTATTTCTTCAAAACAAAATTTTTTGGAATCTTTTAATAAAATTTTATTATTCCCCAAACTCTATAAGTTATGAAATGGATTTAAAAAATAACATATTACACAATTCATTTTAAAGGCAAATGTCGTTCCTAATAACCTTTTCACTTAAAATTCGTAAATAAACTAGATAATTACACTTAGATAAAATTTTATACTTGAAATTTTGATTCTTAAAAGAATTAATGAGTCTACAATAAATTAGACTAACTGAGCATTTATTATGGTATAATTTATTATAGTTTTAACCATATAAAACATTATGAAACATAATATTTAAGTATATTTAGCGACCTACCGGTTAGACCACTAACCCATAGGTTGAATTAGTAACCCGTTGACCCATCTCTTTCGCTAGGTTCCTCCCTGGATTGGGTTTAATAATTATGCTTGGAAGTCTTGGAATGGTCGAATTTGGAGGAGCTTCAGAAGTTTGGGATCCCTTGGATATTAAATGGTTCGACTGTTTGTTTTGCTTTTGCATGTACAACAGTGGTGGTGTTTGGTACTTTTGGAGAGCGCCGAAGTGCAGTTAAGAGCCATTTTGGGAATAGAGGAATTCTCAAAATTTGACTTTTTTAACTTTTCTTTATATTGATCAAAACATCAGAGGTGATAAAGAGGGAGGAGGAGGAAAGATAGGGAGGTGGCGGAGGAAATGGGAAAATTCTTGCCAATCCACTAGCACAAGCAGAGGAGTAATTCAAGCCTATGAATCTCTAACTTTGAGAGTATCTTCCTCTTTTTTAGAGATAGAAATCCCCCATTCGTAGGAGTTAGTACTAGCACAAAATATTAAGATTCAAAAACCAAGTTCTCAACTTTGCTGAATTTCTTATCGCTCACTCTTAGATCGAGATTAGTCTAAGCATAATCAATCTGTCTATAGTAGTAGAATTTTTGAGTTGATAGCCATAACAACCATCAATCCAACTTTTGATCTTGGAAAATGCTTTGAGTTTATATTGAGATAGCACAAAGCTCTGTAGGATTGTAGTTATATAGGAGTTCTCTAACTAAAAAATCAATTAGTCTTAGTGTCTTATCCGACTGGAACTGGGGAAAAAAGGAGGAAAGCAGGAGTAGATCTTGTTCTGATTCCGAACTCTGACATTGAGCTAGCAGGAGCTAGATTCGAAGGGTTTTGGTCTGTGGGATTCATAGAGATGGAAAGCATTGAAGATATTCTAAGAAGATTCACATTATCGGCCAATGAGAGAGGAGTTGTCTGCTTAGAAGATGAGGAAGTGGTAAAAGGGGTTAATGAATGTAAGATGCCTCATTGGGAAGGTTTGGGGAGAAAAATATGTGAACATTTTAGAAATGAAAAACTTTGCCAATAGCATGTGGTCTCAGATAAAAAATCTAAAAGTGTGACAGCCCCACTTTCCCCAGAGGTGAACTAGAGGAGTCAGCGGACCGCCTACCCAACTCTCGTTAGGATTCACTACAATCCATAGCAAGAATTATTTAAATTTTCTAAACTAACCAAAATAATATTCATTACATTCCAAAATAACATTTACATACATCCAAAAGCTATTACATAGGTTCGCGTACAAAAGATTCATCATTCGGTGTCTATCCTAACTACAACCCAAAAATATATACACTACAGTCATTTCCACTAAAATAAAAACTTAAAGTCTCTCAAAACATTCCAATAGTATTCTTGAGCACTCTCGGATCCGAATCCTATTAAGGAAAACAAAACGTGGGATGAGCTTACGCTTAGTGAGCATTTCAGGTAAACAGGCAAAATAAGAGAATAACACAATTTAACATGTAAGCACGTTTTCCCAAGTAATATAGGTTCAAGTAAATCGATACTCAATTTGAGAAACTGGTAGTGGAGCAATTAATTGTAATAGAAATCTTTCAATGAAAAATACTTGATAAACAATAACATTCATGCATGCATTCAATCATTCGTTCAAGTAAATACAAGGATGAACAATAATTTAAACACTAAAAGGATACGGGGCTCACAGGGAGCAACATTCACTTTATAACTGCCAATAAACAATCACCTACATTTTACCGCCTTATAACCTCCGAACTCTCATCTTATGTCCTCCGAAAGATCAACAATCCCCTCATTTAACAGTGACCTTATGCCCTTCAAAAAATCAACAATCCCCTCATTTAACATTAAACATTGTATTCAAGGCCTTTCGACAAAGAGTTTTGAGCTTTGCACTTAACATTGGTAAGTTATAAACTCAAAGTTGTCCAGCTGATCCGACCTCGCAAATGGCAGGTCTCGGATAGGGTGCCGGTGTAGGGTTAAGCTCAGTTCAGCTGATGCGATAAAGTACACATTGGCCTACATTCTTGTACATTTATCACACATTCATGCAATGTGAACATGCGCTCATAGCAAATTAACAAGACAAGAAAATTATAACAGTCATTCACTTATTAGCATGTCATTCAAAGGAGAGCACTTAAGCAAATAATAGCATTTTCTCAAGTCATGCATAATCAAATAACATGCATTGAA